GTTGTTAGTGAAGCATGGGCTTCATTTTAACAAATACTCTGTATCCTGCCAAATTCCAGAAATCCAGCTGAAATGCATGTGTAAGTGTACTGAATGGGTCACGAGCCCTGTGAATGCACCTCAGACACAGTCCTGTATCTCAAACAGGTCCCAATGCAAGTTGTAAATACAAATGATCGCTTTTACCTGGACTCCAGGCTTGGATTCAGTTGCTAACTCAAACACCTGGGCTGTGTCTACACTGGCATGAATTTCCGGAAATGCTTAAAATGGAATACTATTCCGTTTTCAGTTTTTCCGGAAAAGGAGCGTCTACATTGGCAGGCTGCTTTTCTGGAAAAGCCCTTTTTCTGGAAAAGCATCTGTGGCCAATGTAGACGCGCTTTTCTGGAAAAGAGCCCCGATTGCCATTTTCGCGATCGGGGCTTTTTTCCGGAAAAGACTACTGGGCTGTCTACACTGGCCCTTTTCCGGAACAGTGTTCCGGAATAAGGACTTATGCCCGAGCGGGAGCAGAATAGTTTTTCCGGAATAGCGGCTGATTTTGTACAGTAGAGCATCGTTGCTTTTCTGGAAATTCAAGGGCCAGTGTAGACAGCTCGCAGCTTATTCCGGAAAAGCGGCTGATTTTCCGGAATAAGTGGCCCAGTGTAGACACAGTCCCTGTGTAGACCTGGTCTGAGGGTTTGTCTCCATTGTAGGTGAAAACCTGTGGCTGGTGCATGCCAACTGACTCAGGCTTGCAGGGTTTGAGCTGTGAGACTGTTGAACTGTGCTGTAGACACTCTGGATCCAATTGGAGCTCCGATCAGCAGGCCCACGCCAGTTGTGGGGAACAAATGACAGTGTAGACATACCCGATGCTACTGCAATGCAGGCAGTGAGAGCCACCTGCCTTTCACATTTGAGTTCTCTTCAAGCAGCCCGCTGATACTCCTGCGTTTAGCCTCCTCCACAATTTTGTTCTAGGAGCTGCTGTTGAAAATCCCTGGCCTTTAAACGCCATCTAATTTTTTTTATACACTGAGGAGATGTCTGATTTTAAAAGCAACAAACGTCAAATGGTTACATTCCCTAATGTAAATGCAGACACACTGAAAAATTGCATTTCCTATCTGGGGATTATCGTTTCCACTCGGGGCATTTGGCGGTCTCATAAAAATGTTAGCTGAGTCAACAGAACAGAATATCTTTAAGGCTGTTCCTCTCAGAGTGAAATTTTCAGAGCAGCTCCCTTGAAGCTTCTAAGTCATAAAAGGTGTCAAGTCCAGTTTTTATGCAGACAGAGGCTCATATATCCTCTTCAGTGCACACATACAGCTCCATTTGTTCTCAGTGAGAACCATGTAGCCTGAAGATAGTCTAGGGTAGGTTTTAAGAATGAGAGCATGTCTTCTCTATGGGATGGATGGACGGGCAGCGATTGATCCAGCAGGGGGTGATTTATCACGTCTAGTATAGATGCGATAAATCGACCACCGAGCACTCTTCCATCGATTCCGATATGCCACTAAAACAAGAAAAGAAAGCACAATTGGCAGTGTCAGTTGTCGACTTAACTCTATGAAAATACCAGGGTAAATAGATCTAAGTATTGAAAATACCAGGGTAAATAGATCTAAGTATGTTGACTTTGGCTACGTTGTTCATGAGGATGAAGTTGCATAACTTAGGTGGATGGCCTGTTGTAGTATAGATAAGGTGTGAGTGTTTTCCTGATGGAAGGAATAACAAGATACCCAGATGCTCTGTGGAAATAGGACTCAGAAGATATGTGGCATCTACTAAATTCCTTTAAAAAGTCCCCCAAATCATAGTACAGCATCTCGCTGCAAGATCCAACAAAATCCCTTATCAGTCACTGATCACTGGTATGGGACTACGCTTTTTGAAATTGCAGCTGGTATTATATACAGTGTAGATTTAGACCTTAGCCTGCTTTTCTAGTGATACCCACTGCTTCACAGAGCTGAGCAAATCAGGGTGGGCCCAGTTTTGTGCCCACACTTGTGGATGGGTGCTTCTGGTGCCCTTTCAGAATCTTGCTACTTCATTGCACCTTCCGATATCAAGGTAGCCGCTTTTACTCCTGTATATATTTGTGAGTGTAGTAAAGGAGGCAGGTTGCTTTTTATAAAGCAGAGCCTTTGTATCAAATCCTGCTGGTCTGACATTCTGCTTTCTGCAGGATGATCTTGAGAAGTGGTTTATGATTCTGCTTGTTAAGTGGTTGCAAAAAGGTCATGGATGTATTCAGGCAGGAGTTTGCTGATGAGAAAATCTACTTACTGCAGAGGTACTTAGGGCTTTGAGAGGTGTGGTCAGTGTGGCCTCACTTCCCTTTAAACAAAAAGATGGTGAATGTGCATTGGGTGCCCAGCTAAAAGGTTAACGCTTTTGTGCAAACCCCAGAGGATATGTTTTGCCTTGGCGGGAGGTTGCGTCCATTGCTCGAGCAAATCCATTACAAAGGCACTTCACTGACCCTTCACAATTCCTCACTAGTGAGCTATGCTTTGTGAAAAGCAGTTTTTCGGGATGGGCTTGTTTTGCACCGATGGAAATCTCAACAAAAGGCTTCTAAAGACAAGGAGTAAGAATGTGTTGGAAGCCAAAGGACGGTGGGTTATTCACCTCCCAAGAGCAAGAAGAAAGAAAACCTGTGACCAGATGGTCAGCATGCACTGAGGATGCAGGTTAACCGAGTGTTTATCATCAAACCATACAACGGGTTCCAGTAATTGGCAGATGATTGGAGTGTGGAGATCTTGTGACCGTCACCAAGCTAATGATAGCAAATATTAGGAGACCGAGTGATTAAAAGACAGAAGTGAAATCCAGAACTTTTGAGTTACATTCCTGCCTCGGCTGTGGACTTGATGCATAGCCTTGGGTGTGATGTGTAGTGGCCTTGAGCCCCAGTTCCCACTTTACAAATGAGATACCCTGCTAGCTACCCAAGTCGCGGAGGTGTTGCAAGATGCTACTTGCAAAATGCTTAGTGCAGCACAAATGCAAGGCGGGTTAGCAACTCTAAGGGAGTGCTGCAGGTCCCATGACGTTGGTGAGTGCCCCCTCAAACAGATTAGTTATCTCAGTGGGGCCGCTCCCATGAGTGAGAGCTCACTAATAGGTAAGGATCCCCTTGGAAATAGACTGAGGATCGGTTTCCAAAGCCGTGATCGGAATATTAATCTCTCCCTGTTTTTCTGTTTTATTAATAGGGTCATCCTGGCAAAGAAGGGCCTCCTGGTGAGAAGGGAAGTCAGGTAGGTGTTAACCAGGACCTCATCATTATCATTCGGCGTGGCTGATGGGAAGGAAGAAATTAATCCCCATACAATGCTAAGCACTGACTTCATTGCCTTGAAAACAAGGAGCACTCCAGTGACACCTTAGTGACTAACAAATATATATGAGCGTTCATGGGTAAAACCCACTTCCTCAGATGCGTTGGAGTGGAAATTACAGAATCCACCATATATAACAGCAAAAGCAGTTACCTGTCAATTGTAGGACCAGTGTTAGTGAAGCTAATTAAGTCAGTCTGGATGTGTCCCATTCATAGCATTTGATGTGGAAATGCGAATAGCAAAGGTGAGAGAAATTGCCTTTGTATTATGTTAACCAGGTAATGTCTATATTCAAGCCCAAGTTGATAGTGTCAAACTTCATTGCCCCGGCGGCGTTAAACCTCTCTGGTCAGTTCTGAAGGGGATGGGGTATTGTCTACACTAGGAAGATTTTGTTCAAATAGTTATACTTGCAAACTCAGAAAGTTATACCTGGCACTACATGGGTAAAGCTACATGAAAACTGGTACTGTGCCAGGTAAATGATGTCAGCAGACTCTTCAAGTGGAGATACAGCTCATACCAGCAAGAGTCCTTTGCTGACATAACTTATTCCTATTCTCTAAAGAAAATAAACTAGACTGACAAAAGAACATTTTTGCCGGTATAACTGCATCTACACTAGGGCCTGCTTCTAGACTGGCATGATTTTCCGAAAATGCTTTTAACAGAAAAGTTTTCCGTTAAAAGCATTTTCAGAAAAATCGTGTCTAGATTGGCAGGATGCTTTTCCGCAAAAGCACTTTTTGCGGAAAAGCATCCGTGGACAATCTAGACGCGGTTTTCCATAAAAAAGACCCAATCGCCATTTTCGCGATCGGGGCTTTTTGGCAGAAAACAGTACTATGCTGTCTACACTGGCCCTTTTGCACAAAAGTCTTTCGGATAAAGACTTTTGCCTGAATGGGAGCAGCATAGTATTTCCGCAAGAACACTGACGATCTTACATGAGATCGTCAGTGTTCTTGCGGAAATTCAAGAGGCCAGTGTCATGTCTTTCCGCAAAAGCAGATGATTTTGCAGAAAAACTTGCCAGTCTAGACACAGCCTAAGGCTTTAGCCAGCCTAACGATGTCAGTTAAGCTTTGGAGTGTGTTTCCACACTTTTAATGGACCTAACTCTGCTTGTGAAACGTTTGTTAAATGTTCTGGGAGAAGGTCACATGACTGGACCCTACAGCATTTGATACACCCATGAGAAACTTAAAGACAAGTGGGGGATGGGCCAGCAAATGTGGCAAGAATAAGAAACCCACCAAGCCTGCTCCTCAAACCAAGTCCAGTTCATTTCTTTGTGTGTTTCTTTTAACGTTCTTTCAACTTCTTCCATTTCCTGGCTTTGTCTTCAAAACAAAGGAATATAAATATTACCTTGCACCATCCGCTTTGTCTGGAAATGCCCCAGGAAAGGTGATCGGGTGAAATGTGCACCTCATTTAGAAATCTAGATAAACTCAGATGTTTTTTCTACCTGAACCAGCTGAGTTTTGCTTGTTTTCTCACTTGTGATTTTGTCCACAGGGAATGAGTAGGTAGTTGCAGTGATCTGTTAGTGCCATTGTCTACCCCAGTTTTCCTGGAAAGCAGCACTAAAAAGCTCCCCAAACATGCAATCAGAAACTGGCGAAGGAGAATGCTCTGAATCAGTCCCCACTACATACCCTCGGTGCTGCAGAGGGCATGTGGAAAATTACTTTTTAAAAAATGAATGGTCTTTTCTTTCTAGTTCGTCCCCATGTCAAAGTTCCTCTTTAGCAATATTTTAGAAAACACTGCTCCAGGGCTAGAATCCTTGAATTATAAGATTGTTAGTTTGTCTGGGAGATTTACCATCTGTGCTCCCGCTGTGTCCCATTCCATTGAAAAACATTACATTTGTCAAAAGTCTTTTATTCGAGGACAATTTGGTTTGATTGAAGCACACCTTAGCATTGCATGTAGCGCAGGAAAATTATGCCTGCCACCTCTGGGGGGGAGGGAGGGGTTCCTCCAGCTGGTATCATATGAGGCCAGGAATACAAATGTTCCTGCCTGTAGAATGTGAAAACTCAGTAAATAGTCCTGCACACTCACTGTATGAGAAGACATTTAGGAAACATCAGGGTGTCAGATCCAGACTATAACTTTCCTTCAGGAGTTATTAAGATCTCAGAGCAGCGTTGGTACTGCTAGACTTGTTCCAGCTGGCACTAACATGAAGTCTGAAACTCCAGCCTTGGGGAAGCTGGTGGGGACTACTCCTGGGGTGAGGATGGTGGGACTTGAACCCACAGTCTCAAGAGCCTAAGGCCTGATCCATTAGGCTACTGGGACCCACCACACTGCCCTACCTTCAGCTGATGCCAGTGCCAGCTCTGGGGAAGCTGACTGTCAGGCTGGAAAAAGGAGTCAGAACTCTCTTAAAGAAATGGAGGAGTCTTTTTTCTGTGATGTGAGGAGAAAAAAAAACAGTTGAAAATGTGATTGATTTACAGTCATAAGACAGTGCTATAGTGATGGTGCAAGGTACTTAAAAAGTGACCAGGGAGTCTGTCCATCCAGGTTTAGCAATTACTACAATCTAGCCCTTGGAGTCAGGGGTGATTAGATGGATTCATAGCTGTGAATGCTAGAAGGGATTATTATGATCACCTCATCTGGCAAAATTCAGGCCAAAGAGACTCACCTGGAAATACCAGTATCAAACCCATAACTTCTGTTTGAGCTGCAGCTAATATTTTACAATGGCATCCAGTCTTGAATTAAAGATTTCAAGTGATGGAGAATCCACCACATGCCCAAATAAGTCATTCCAATGGTTAATGGCCCTCTGTATTCAAATTTGCATCTTATTGTTAGACTGCTTTTGTCTAGCTTCAGCTTCCAACCATTGGGTCTTATTATAATGATGTCTCTGTTCAGAAGAGTCCTAGAAATTAGAGACTGCTAGATGCATGCGGTCATTTAATGTGTCGCTTTGTACACGAAGGATTGTTCCTAGCTATACACGTGCAAATGCTTTATGCAATTTAAGTTCACATGTGCCACATGATGGGGTTTCTGCTGCTTCCCTTGGAAGTTTATTTTACATGTTCTGGTACAGATCTCATTGTCTGTAGTTTTCTGGATCTAGGGACCATAGGCTCTGCCAAGTCCCATTTTCAAAAGTGATGCAGAAACTTACAAGTCTAAATCTCACTGAAGGTCCTAAATCACTTTCAGAATGCAACTTGGGCCCCTAACTTACTAAGGCCATGTCTTTACTTGCCGCACCAGAGATTAATTTGCTGGTGTTTGATTTAGTGGGTCTAGTTAAGACCTGCTAAATCAAATGCTGAGAGAGGCTCTGGTTGGTACCTGTATTCCTCACAATCACAAGGAGCAAGGGAAGCCGATGGGAACATTTGTTCTCTTTGGTCTCCTTCTGTAAAGGTCTCCTTCTGTAAAGATGGCACCAAGCTCGGTTTAAGGTAAGCCAACTCCAGTATCTTACGTAGCTGGAGTTGCATACCTTAATCCAACCTTGCAGGTCTAGGACCTGGCCTTAGGCACTTCTGAAAAATTTACCCATTGAATCCAAATGTTTATTTTTTAATTGTATTGCTTCTATTTTATTATTCTTGAAGCTAGAGCTAATTGAGAGGAAAAAAGAGAAATTCACATTTTTTGTAGACATTCCCTCCCTTTTTTTTCTAGTTTTCAGATTTGAATTCTGAAAAATTCTGACCTGTTTTACAATTGTCTGGAAAATGGCAAGAAAAGAATGTGACCATTTCACCGATTTTATTTTTCTTTTTTAAAAATTCATCATCACTTCAAAATTCAAAACATTTTCAACCTGCTGTACTTGAAACTAAGTGGTAGAAATCACTTTTGCTACTGCAGATCATTGGTGGATCCTGTTTATAAAACTCTTTTTTATAGCTAATCATTATAGACATTATCTGGCTGTCTGGTGTCTCCTCTTTCTGGCTACGTCTACACTGCGGGTGTTTTGTGGAAGAAGAAATGCAAATGGAGCGCTCCATTTGCATATCTCAGGCTCTCATTTGCATATCTTCTTCTGATCCTTTTTGCGGAAGAGGCTTATGCAATAAGAAGCCCTGTGTAAACGGGGCCATTTGTCGGAAAAAAAACCCTTTTGCGCAAGAGCCCTTATGCCTCAAAAAATGAGGTTTATAGGCTCTTGCGCAAAAGGATTTTTTTCCGACAAATGGCCCTGTGTACACAGGGCTTTTTATTGCAAAAACCTCTTCCGCAAAAAGTATCAGAAGAAGATATGCAAATAAGAGCCCGAGATATGCAAATGAGCGCTCCATTTGCATTTCCTCTTCCGCAAAACACTGCGGGAAACACTGACGTAGCCTCTGTGTCCTGTTCGGTGCTCAGATCTCAGACCACAGAGCAATGTGAGTTAGGTTTCTATAGCCTCTTCCAAGCACAGCTGACTCCCATATGCCTTCTAGTCAGCCAGCTACAAGCTTTCCTGTGCAGTTCAGGACAGTTTATGAAACAATTCCAGCCTTGTTGTAACTTAATGTTGTTTTGTCTTTGTTTTTAAACCATAGGGTCCAACTGGACCTCAGGGCCCTCTTGGATATCCAGGACCTCGTGGAGTCAAGGTAAGGAAAATGGGGAAGGCAAGGACGACAGACCTATGTCTTTATTTCTTACTCTGGATATTGTGTTGGAGGTAGAGGAGGTTATCTTGGATCTCACTGAGTTTCACAGTAGCCTCTCATAAGGAATTTCTCCTACTTTTAGCAAATCTTTCTCTGGCTATAAAGACAGAGTAGCCACAGTTGGCCACTCTGGCTCTGTGTAACTGGAACTGGGAAAGGTCATGTAGAAGAGATAGAGCACCAACAGAGTTGGAAGAAAGCTAAAAGACTAGTGGCAAATCACTTAGTTGGGAAACCTACAGGCATTATAGATGAGTCTAAAGCAGGGATGGGGAACTTTTGGGGGGCAGGGGGACACTGACCCTCAGAAAAATCAATTGGGGGCCATACACAAGTGATAACATGAGAAGCAAAAATGACAAAAAAAAACAACAACCCAGCAACTGCCCCCTCCCCCCTTACACACACACACACACTGACCTGGCCCCAAAGTGAAAAAGAGAAAAAAACCCTCTTGGATTTGGCCCCCCAACTGAGAAGCAGGAAAAAGGACATTCCCCTCAAGATCCAGCCACGGGGGGAGGGGGGGGGGAGGAGAGGGCAGGAGGAGGGAGGTTGCCCAGGGTCAGGGCTGATTCCCAGGGCTGGATATTAATTCATCTGGCTAGTAGAGAGTAATAGATTTCATGGGCCCCCTCTAGGATCTGGGATGAAGCCAAAAATGAGGGGTTCAGTGTGCAGGAGTGGGCTGGGGGTAGGAAATCAGGGTCTGAATGGGAAATAGGGTGCAGGAGTGAGGTAGCGGTGTAGAGTCTGGGCAGGAGAAGAGTTGCATGAGGGGGCAAAGGATGGGGTGCCTAACCGGTGCTGGTGGTGGGGGGGTGCAGGTGGCACTGTACGGCTCTGCGTGTTTCAGGGACACACTTTCTGTAGACACTACCCCTACTGCTCCTATTGGCAGTGATTTTCAGCCAATGGGAGCATCAGCAGACAATGCCTGTAGAGAGTGCTTCCCTATAGAGTGCAGAGCTGCTTCCTACCCCCTGCCAGATGCAGCCCATAGCTTGCCTTGTTCTGGCCTGGGAGGCTCAGGGTCCCCCCCCCCCCACACCCACACCCACACACATCAGGGAGCCAGCACTGGAGCTCCCCAGGAGTGTGGGGGGAGCCCTGACCTGGCCAAGGGGCCATAGGCTCTCCACCTCTGGTCTGAAGGATACCTATCAGCATTACTACGAAATATGGATTGATACCATTGGTGAAAGTAACTTACAGGTACTGTCCTATTGGAATATTGGTATAGAAGGGTACAGCTTGCTCAGGAAGGAGAAGCAGGGGGAAAAGAGAGGAGGTTTTGCCTTGTATTATTAAAAATGTATACACTTGGAGAGTATGTCTACACTAGCCCCCTAGTTTGAACTAAGGTGGCTAATGTAGGCATTCGAACTTGCAAATGAAGCCCGGGCGGGTGCCATTTTTAAATCCCCTTAGTTTGAACTGACTGCTGCGGCTACACGCAGGAGGAGTAACAGTTATTCCGAACTAAGGACTTAGTTCGGATTAACTTCTGACTGCCATGTGTAGCCGCGGGCAGTCAATTCGAACTAAGGGGATTTAAAAATGGTGCCTGCCCGGGAAAATGCAAATGAAGCCCGGGATATTTAAATCCTGGGCTTCATTTGTAAGTTCGAATGCCTTCATTAGCCACCCTAGTTCATACTAGGGGGCTAGTGTAGACATACCTGGACTGAGGTTGAGATGGACATAGGAGGCAGACTTGTTGAGAGTCTCTAGGTTAGGCTAAAAGGGATAAAACACAAGGGTGATGTCATGCTAGGGGGCTACTACAGACCACCTACTCACGCAGAAGAGGTGGATGAGGCATTTTTAAAAGAACTAACAAAATCATCCAAAGCGCAGGGTTTGGTGGTGATTGGGGACTTCTGCTATCTCGACATACGTTGGGAAACTAACACAGCAGGGCACAGATTATCCCAATAAGTTCTTGGACTGCATTGGAGCCAGTTTTTTATTTCAGAAGGTTGAGAGAGCTACCTGAGTGTGGGGGGCTCAAGGCAGAGGGCTGGAGATGTGGCAGGGATGTGTATGAGTCAGGGTTGGAGTGTATGAGAGGCCCAGAGCAGAGGGTACAGGATGAAGGCAAGGGACTGGGTGTGTGTGTGGGGGGGGAGGAGGCACAGGGCAGAGGGCTGGAGGTGTATGTGAGGGGCTAAGGGCAGGGTGCTGGGGATATGTGGAGTGGGGTGCAGGAGGGGTGTAGGCAGGGGTTTGGGGGGTCACGCAGAAGAGGTGGATGAGGCATTTTTAAAAGAACTAACAAAATCATCCAAAGCGCAGGGTTTGGTGGTGATTGGGGACTTCTGCTATCTCGACATACGTTGGGAAACTAACACAGCAGGGCACAGATTATCCCAATAAGTTCTTGGACTGCATTGGAGCCAGTTTTTTATTTCAGAAGGTTGAGAGAGCTACCTGAGTGTGGGGGGCTCAAGGCAGAGGGCTGGAGATGTGGCAGGGATGTGTATGAGTCAGGGTTGGAGTGTATGAGAGGCCCAGAGCAGAGGGTACAGGATGAAGGCAAGGGACTGGGTGTGTGTGTGGGGGGGGAGGAGGCACAGGGCAGAGGGCTGGAGGTGTATGTGAGGGGCTAAGGGCAGGGTGCTGGGGATATGTGGAGTGGGGTGCAGGAGGGGTGTAGGCAGGGGTTTGGGGGGGGGGTGTAGAGTGGAGTGCGGGATGGGAGGCTCGGGGCTGAGAAAATCCCGGTTGAGGGACCCTGTCCTGTGCTGCTCCTATTCCCAGCCAAATGGGAATTGTGTGGACAGCACTATTTGGCATGGCAAGGGAGCTAAGGGTGGGTGGGATGCTGCAGCATCCTGGCCCAGTCGAGGTTCTCCAGCCAGCCCTGCCCTCCTGGGACTGTCCAACCAGCCCTGCAGAGAAGGGT